GTATCTGTATCTGTGCCATATTATACTGAGGGAGCACATGATGTGACACTGCAGCCATCAAGGGCAGCTTTATAGCAAAACCTAAGGTCTTAGGTCCTGCCTAATTTTATCCTAAATACCTAGGTGTGACCTTCAAAACCTGTTTCGAGTGCTCTCCCAGCCCTGGGTAGCCCTCCTGCCTGCAGAGCTGCATTTTTAATATGAAATGCTCCATATGGCTTCCCTAGTTCTGCATTATGGGGGTTTGACAATGCCTGCCCTAGTAGTTCAACCTGTGCTGCAGCATCCTCAAGATATTCCCGATTCATCTGACCAGAAAGCAGAGTCAGGACATGCTTGACATCCAAAAAAAGGGCTCTGCTTAAACCACACAGTAGTTCAGTGATAGTGGACTCAGTTCTGATGTAAAACACATTTTATTCCCTTGTCTGCTCGAGGGAATTTGATCTTATGGCTAATATTCAGTGGACCAGGAGCTGCAGCCCTCTTGCATGACCAAGCAACAGTCTCTGCATGCTGTTCTCCCACACTTTCCACAGAAGGACCAGCAAACGCTCAGCCCAATACTTGCTGATGCTTGTACTGTTAGTACGGGTTGATAAAATCTTTCTTTTGGAAAAAAAGCAGGTTGCCATGTGAGGAATCCCCCTGGATTTCTGTAAGATGGAATTAAATCCAGTAGTGCATAACTCCAGTATGACATTTTGGGTAGGATTTAGAGTACTTTCCTGCCTTCAACATTTCCTGTGAATACCACACTAAAAACTCCACATTTTAAAATGCACGTGAGCGTCCTAGGTGAGCACTTCCAGAAGCTGATAATCAAAATGCAATTGTGCTAATGAGCACTGATGTCACTGCTATACGCTTGTGGAGAGCTAGTTGTAAACACTAAGTGGTTCAACTGAGAAACCGGCTTCCTGTAGATTAATTGTGACAGTGATGTATGTAATATATAAATAGAACTAATCAGAGATGCCGGCCATATAACCCTGGGGCAGGCAGGAAATGAATACAGTGGAGAACTTTGCAGACTCACTTTCTTATTTTGACCTTTCAAAAGATGAAATAAATGAATTTAGTTTAGCACAGATGTAAACATTTTCCACAGCAGATGTTCTGCAGAAAATGCAGAGATTCCCAAGCCTGCACCACGCTTGTGTTTTCATCACAGATGCCTTAAAAAATTCTTTTGAGATCCCTGGCTGACAGGACCTACAGACTCTGAATGCAAAGTGTTACATTCCTGTTGTCAGTGATCCATGTCTGAAGCAATGCAATTTTGTCTCCTTCCTTTTAAACAGCAGCAACAAAAGGAGGTTTTATAATATGAACTACAGTAGGTGTGTTAATGCTTCTCTTCCAGTAACTCTCAAGTATCCCATATGCCAAATTCCTCCTCTAGCATGAATCTTTTAAGTGCACCACTGAAGAAATTCACTGATTTAGCAGACTGCAAGCTCCTCTCCTTGAGATTTGCAATAAAACTATCTTCCTTTTTGTATTGCTTCATGAAGCAAAATATTTTTTTATCTGAAGATAAACAGAACGAACATATATTGGATTATATCATTATTAAATTGTAGGTCCAATTATTGTTTCCAATAATGAATAAACAACATAAATATTGAGTAGTAAATTGTTAAGAAGTTACTGATGAGCAGCAAATTTATTAAAGCCAAATTCTTCCAAAATATGTAATTTTAATTTTCATCTCTAAGAACTATGAAAATACATCTTTTCAGCCCATGCTCTTCAGTGAAGTTTCTTTCCGTGCTTATTCTTCACAGGACAGTAAAGAGATTGTGTTGCTTTTTTTTTTAATTCCCACAAAGATGAGTATTTCTTCCCTTCAGCAGAAACTAAACCACATGTAACCCTACATAAGCCATACTGGTAAAATTGGATTTGAATGAGAGCAATGGCAGAGCTCAGTTGTGGAGAAGCCTGGGCAGTGCTAGAATATGAGCATGGACATGAAGGAGGCAAAGTTTACACTTACCTGGCAAGTAACAAAAATATCTTGAAGAAAGATGTGGAGGGATTACTAACAAAGGAGAACTTCTCGTTGAGGTCTAGTTCTTTGTGCTGGGCTGAACCACTCAGGGTTTCACTTCTGTTCAGCTGAACTGGGAAGTCTGAATCTTTCAGTGCTTGCCTTTAAAAACCGAAATATGACATATTCAGTGTATAATACAATGCCATTATTGCTAACTATATTCAGTCATTTTTTCTTTCACAGAGGGCAGCTATTGGGTCTACACAAGTCAAGCATGACTTTACCAACAGCTGTGACAGGACCTTATCAAGCACTAACAGAAGCCAGTGCAGACAATTTTCAACCGAGGAACAGGCCCAAAGAGATCAGGACTTCACCTCAAGGAACTTCCTGCACTGTATGACCTATTAAATTTTGCTTTTTTGTCAGATAAAAATTGTTTTGAAAATACATATTCTATTAATCTAACCATGAAAGCTCTTGAAAAATGTATTTATTCTTTTCTACAAGTATATAATTAATTAAGCCAATATTGCCCCCACTTTGCAGAGATGATCTTGATTTGAGGACTTAAAAATCACTAGTGTCCTTCTCAAAAGATTTGTGAGTACATTTCAGCGGTTAGAGAAGTTGTTGGGAATCAAGACATTTGGTTCTCATCTCAAATTTCTTTAGAGCTTTCTAGGCCTGTAGTCATGTCATCAACATAATATTCTGGGTCTTCTTTTTCTGGCTTAAAATAACTTACTCATTTTTCTATATCGTCATCTTGCAGTATGTAAAATGACCCAGAAGCACTTACAGAGTCATTAATACCGTTGCTATAACTACTGTAGCCTGCAGTGCAAAACAGAAACACTTATTAGCACCAGCACCATCGCTGACAAAACACAGACTGACTTTGATGCAATTTGGCTATTTCAGGGCCTGAATTTCATATTAGCTTTCTATTAATGGAAAAAAAAAAAAAAAGAAGGAAGAAAAAAAGATCATTTGTAACTATTCCCTTCCTTCTCTATCCCCAGAAAAAAAAAAAATTCCAATGAATTCTCGGGAGATGCACAGTGGATTGCTGTGTTTGGGACTGATACTATTGTCACAGTACAGTACATTAATATTTCAAGCAGCTAAGACATAACACCCATTGCTTTAGAGTCATTTAAGAGTGGGTCAGACAAGCCATTCAGACACACGCTGGGAAGAGCCTGTTATTGGTGGGTGCTGAAAGAGATGACATAACGGGCCATTTCCATCTATAAGTTACATGGTACAGTGGCAAGGCCACCATACTTCACTTCTGAGTTATGTTTAATGCTATAAATCTTTCTTAAATCAGCTTATATGAACTATTGAGTCTACAGTTAACAATATTTTTCAGGAACTGAAATCAGTAGGTAATAAAATTATGGCAAATGAACACAGGCAGTATTATATACACATAAAAGATGAAAAATTGACTACCATTGTTGCAGAAAAGGGAAATAAAATCATGCATTCTTTATTTATTTACTTATTGGTAAAAGATAGAATATATTACTAATGACAGCTATGGTTAAAGCCACTTTAAAATAAGTAGGATGTGATATGTAAACCTACTCTGAAACTGAAAACGCAGTTTAAAACAATAACCCTGCTTCTTATAGATCTTTTGGGTCACAAAAGGCAGTTTTGCACTGAATATTTCCCATTCAGTCTGATTTATAAATTCATATCACATGTATATCCATGAGTTTTCTTTCATTTTTTCTCTCTGTAAAAAGAAATCACAATAGATAAAATCTTGTTTGTTACATTTCAGGAATTTGAAGTCCCAGCAGAGGTTTTTTTTCAGTTCTTTTGAATATTAATTCCTCCCATCCTCCTCAGCACAACGAGCCACAGAGAAAAGGCCATGGTGGAGCTCTCAACAGAACGTACCTGTGTTGCAGTAATTGCACAGAACTGGACAGAATTGTGGGAAGGTGATGAGGTCATGCCTTCTCCTCAGAGTTTGGTGTCTTATCTGAATAATCAAAAGGAGGCACTGGCATTAAAAAAAGGAGGGCTATTTAATTCTTAATCAACTACTGCATAATTTTAATCTTTTCCAGGCTCTCATTCAGCTAACACTGAAGAGATTTCTTTGATAGATGTATTGTTCCTGTGACACCTGCAGCACAAATTGTACTTAAGAACAAGAAACTTAGTTGACATCATGCTTGTACTTGAAGAGGTAATCTGTGCTGATCACCCTAAAAAAAAAATACATTTTTATGTTGTGTAAACTAAAATGAGAAATTTTTGTTTATTTACTGTCAAAATTAAAAAAAAAAAATCACAAATGTTTGTGCTGAACTAAAGACTTTTTATCCTGGTTGGGAGATTGTAAATGAAAGTAAAGCCACAGACATAAAAGATAAAGGAGGAGCTTTAAGTAGACTAACTTGAAATTAGAAGTAGATGCTCATCATTTCCGAAAAATGGTGCAAAAATTAAAATCTCTACTTACAAAATACTGAACAACCACAGCTTCATCTAGCTCATACAGGAGACTCTGGGGAAACCTCGAATTTCAAGTTAACATACTGTAGAGACAACTGGTTCTGTGTCCAGCATATGACATCTGAGGCTGTAGAGGGCAGTTAAAGGTCAGTTAGAAGTTCCTCTAAGAGTTTAAGACAATGTTATGTGTTACTTTATGCAAAATTATTGTCATTAAAGTTAATTTTAGAGAAGCTATGTACACTTCCCACAGGCATTTGGGGGAAAATGATGGTGTCAACCCTAAATCTAGTAAAATACCACGTTCCACAAGCACAAACCCGGGAGTTGCTCTCTGCCGATAGCTGTGTTTGGATCATCAACGGCCATTTTGCAAAGTTGCAATCTCACTTCCCTAAATGACGACTGTAAAACCAGAACTCTGCTTAAAGTCCTGTGTATGTGCAGCTGCAGCGGCAGTGAAGGTGGAGAACCTCCTTCCCACTACCTGCTCTGGAAACTGGGGACAGCCCAGCCCGACACAGCATGTGAGAGCCCTCCTGAGCACATCAGTTACACCAGATGCAACTGCTGTAAGGAAGCAAAAGAAACATTTTCTGAAACCGCGAAGCTTTTTTAGAGCAAGATGGAGAACCCACTTCTTTTGTTCCCCCATCTAAACAATTCTGCTTCAAAGGATAAATCCTATTACAAACTCGTGAAATCAACAATTAAAGAAGAGCCACATAAGGCAAGCAAACCTGGGTAAGTTTTAAGGTCAAGTTGACACTCTGAGTGTTCTGTTTATATAAAGAAATCTTGTAACATAGCTTGTGGGTGTGAATTTAGGGCACAGATCATTTTATTTTTAACGGATATATATGAAAACTCATGAACTGCAAGCCTAGGAATTGTATATATAAAATAATTAATTCATCACGGAAATATTTTTTAAGAACAAAAATCAAATAATAAACTAAGAAAACAGGAAAGGGAGGTTTCAAGAAGTTCTGAAAAATGCTTCTTTAAAGCCTGAATACAATCTGGAAAAGTTTCTTTTTAAAAATTTCAAATGACAGGAAGCAATACTTCCTTTTTCTTTGCGAAACATTAAAAGCAGAAGATGCTGAGCCAACTGTTTATGTTCTCTAATGTGAAATTTCACCCCCCCATCTTTAAAATAAATGAAAAAGATACTGAAAATGAAAAGGTTTCCAGTTCTGTCAGTACTTCATATGTAAATTTGTGCTAAGCTATAAAGAAAAAGTCGTTAACATGAATAATATATGTAGAAGTAACATCAGCATTACTATAAGTGCACGCAAGGGCATTTATGATGCAGAAGCAGAGATATTATTCAAAGGAAATGTTTGAGAAAAAAGAAAAACCGCCAACTGACAGTGAGATTGCTTGAAAAGCTACTCTAATTCTGTTGTAGAGCTAAACAGAAGAGAAATAGGCTGAGCCTTCTCCTGCAGAAATCTGAATTCCATGAAGGTGATCATCTTGGTAAACCTGGAAACTTGACAAAAGCAGCCAGGTAAGCATTAAAAGAGACTGAGTCGGTGGTGATTCCTTTCAGGAAGTGCCTGTGTGACTCAGAACATTTCCTGCATTTATGCATGTGCATTCAGACTTGGCAGAGAATAATGCTTTCAAGATCTATTTCATTTAAAAGTTCACAATCTAACCCAAGCCTACAAACACTGTAGAATTACCTGGTATGCATCAAGGTAACGCACCATGAAGTGTAGACTGGTCCCCATACACTTGCAGATATATTTAAACCTTTACCCATGCCATCAGCATTTTTATTAGTTCACTGACTACGCTGAGCAAGCATCAACTCAGAAACGTTGCTGATAAATCACTGCTTACGGGGAAATCATGTAGCTCCTCAGAAAGCAGGTTTTCCAAAGAATTATGCCATGTACGAATGCCAGATGTATGTCAGATACTGAAAGCATAGTTCCTCAAAAATTGCAGCAATTGTTTGAATACTGTTATCTCCAAAATCTAGATACTGAGTTCAAACACTGTTGTGACATTGTCTCTGTTATACCATTTCTCATAAAGATGCAGGGTGAAATCTTGGTTTTGTTGGCTTCAATAAGAGCTTGGTTCCTGACTTCAGTGGGGTACCAAGATCTCATTGATATATTAAGAATAGCATTTGTAGGTCTTGACTGAAAAGAAGGAATGCATAAAGTACTGCAACTCCATGGCCTAAAAAATTTGCTGCCCCTTTCTTGTCATCACAGATCACTTCGGAACACTTCGGTGCTTCCTGTGCTCTTTTGTCTTGTTAAGTTTAATGAACCTTTTTCAAGCAGTTACTATCTTTGGGACCAAGATGCTGGCTTTGACCAGAACAGCTTCTATAAGCCCTTACTAATCATGAACACATGGCAGAAATTGCATAAAGATCCAAACTCTGCTTCTAGAACCCATGAAAAAGTGGCAGAGAAATGGATATCTAAACACTTGCATCTATGCATCTGGATAATTAGGCAATGTTTGTTGTTCCCATGTCCAAATATCATGCCTATTCAAAGGACAGGATGATGTACTCGTGATCTGAAAGACTTTCCACTCCACACTCATGGTGGGGTTTCATGAATTTCTTTTTTCCTTTCTTGTTTTACTGCTGGCAGTAGTCTTAATTCAATGGTTTTACAGTTCACTCAGAAATACAAGACCTTGCAATGATGAACAAAAGGCAAAACAGTGCTGAGAACACCCTTTTTCTGTGTCTTGGTTCCAGACACGTGAAACTATGCTAAGACTGTATCTAAAAAGAGAAGGCACAGCCTCCATGTCACCGTATTGGGTGGCTGATCACCCTTGTGTATTTCATACAAAGTTCACAGCCATCAGTGCATTCTTGTCTTCTGTGAAAAGGCACTTTCAGAGGCAGATACAATAGCAATGAATAATCCTCTGAAGAATTTCCCTCTTCTACCAGACCATCACTTCCTCTCTCAGCCACCTGCCTTTTACCATGTTACTCTCAGCCAGGTGCTTGACTAACAGGGATTCTGCTGTTCTTATTGCTTAGAAAAGAAACTGGTAGGTTTTTGCTGATCGTTCTCCATATATAGATTATATATAGAGAGATGTAGATTATTTTCAGTGAGAAAGAAAATGGAAAAATAAAAAAGGAAATTACCCTTTTTCAAATCATAAAGTGAGATAATAATAAATCCTAAACTATTTAAGTGATCTATTTAGTTTTTATGGTTTCTATTCTTTACAGACATGCTAACATAAGTTGAAACAGAATTTAATCAAACAATGCCGATGGACAGTGTGATGATAGGGGAAATGCCTATGGCCTGTTAACTAGTTTCTTCTCAACTTTAGAAAGGAGCAAAGCTGAACAAATCTTGGTTTCTGTCTATTATTGCAGCAGCTCATTGCTGCACTCAAGTTTTAGGGATCTGTGAGGCTACTGGGTTGACACAGTTTCTGAAAGAAAATCAGAAATTCACACTAGGAGTTTCCAAACCCAGCAAAGAACCTCTCTGGCATTCTGTGCAGTTGTGGACTGCGTATGTTGTCTGAAGCTACCAAGGTTTATCTTTCACTAGGACAAAATTAATTTCTGTAGCTATAGGAACGCACCGTTCCCAGACTTACAAGTCCACACAGTTCAGAGAACTGCGCTTTTTGTACTTCTCATAACTAAAACATTCTGTAAGGGAGTGAGGTCTCATTTTCCCTGCCCGCAGAATCCTCCTACTTTACTGGCCTATGTTCATTTCTTGAATTTCAGTTCTCCAGCATTTGTACCTCTCAAGAACTGTTGTCTCTCCCTAGTTAAAAGAATGACTTCAGCTAGGACACATGACATCTATTAAAAAATATAAAAATCTTTCTTTTGTGCAAAATGAAGATAATTTCTGGCTTAAATTCCTTTCCATAGTGATTGGAATTTCCTTTCACTAAACTTCATGTGCCTACAGATTTTGCCAAGGGAACCCAAACTATGTGAATGGGGCAACAAAATGGCAAGGCTTCGCAAGGAAAGGGGAATCATCTGAAGAAGTGTTGAGTCCATAAGAAGTCATTCTAACCAACTAACCCTGGACAAGTTGCTTATTGATACTTTCAGCATGCTGTACTTCGCCCTCACATGAAAATGGTTCTAAATATTAATATTCATAAATCACCTGATAAAAATTGACTTCACCTTCAGGCTTGGAACTTAAGTCCTAGTCCTACCATGATACAGTTCATCTCTGGGCTTACTCCAGTTCCGGTCTACTAAAAATCAAAGCACTGTCCAGGTGTGCGTTGAGGGTTTAATATATACACAACCAAAAAAGGGTTTCTCCAAAATCGTATTTACATGAAGCAGGGTGTTCTTTTTTCCTTTCTGTATTGTTCTCTAGGGCAGAATATTTGAAATCAAAATAAAATGCATGCAACTTGACATATTTGATGAAGAATACGTGGAGTTTTATACATGGAGCAGTATCTCGGAATAACATGACATTTGAAATATGTTTGTGGTAAACAAACCAGGCTGCATGTGCTATTACCCTATAAGACTGTCACCTAAGCCATATTGCTACAACTTCATTTTCAGTCTACAGAATTTCCTGTATTTCATTAAAAATACACTGTGGTAACACAGCCTTAGACTGAGTGCATTTAAAACCACATCTCTGCAAGACTATTTTTTAAGCTTAAATAGGTGGCTGACCTGGTTCCCTTATGAGTTTTACCATACTGCATGATCTCAGTTCCCTTAAAGATTAGTAGCACAACACAAACACCAAAGAAAAAAATCTCTGCTGTGATGTTTTTTTAAACGGGGAAAAGTACAACTCTGCAGGAAAAATGTCAGAAAAAAATTAAACCAAATGTTTCTGCAGCCCCTAAGAGAATGAGCTCCTTTAGTAATGTGAGCTAATCAAAGGCTTTGTGCAGCAGTCCTGAGCAATAATGGTAACAGATAACGTAGGTGACAACAGCTTCATAAATATGCAACATGCACAATTCTTCAAAACTACCTTCTGTTTCTTAAGCAGTGTGTCTCCTGAAGAAGCAGTGAAATGGGGAGAATCTTTTGACAAACTGCTTTCTGAGAAAGGTTAGTAGTTTTTTCCTCTCCATGCAGACTGTTATGATGGAAAATTGATGGAAAATGATGGAAAATTACAAAATCCAGTTGTGCACTTAAATAGACCTGGCAGTTACCTAAACTAGGTATGATGAGTCATTTATAGCAGTGTGTGTTTCTGTTCTCCTTATGTGCTTAGGCTGTAGCACGCTGTCAACTACTGAAAATAGTTGAAAACAACTTTTAAGTTTCGTATTTTATTGAACAACGTAATATAACAGGCAACAAAGAGTTCCTTGAATACACAGTAGAATCTCATTTGAATATTGCTCAAATATTCCTGGCTGCAAGACCAAACCTTAAAAATGGAAACATGTTCAATGTACTTAAGAAAAGACTTTTTTACTTCTGATGCAGTTTGTTTCTATAACAGTGATAGGGTCAAAGCTGGCCATTATTGAAAGGGCCTATTGCTTATGTAGTTATCAAATGCACCTATGTCCCTCTTTCCAAATCGGAGGGACACATGTATGATCCAGCTACAGTGCTGGTCACTATGTGATTTTCAGATCTGTTCCTTAAACAGTTAACATCAATAAAATTGCATTACTTCCACAGATTAAGCATGCTTGGGAAAGAAAATATTTTCAGCATAATAACAATAGGATAAAGCAAATTGTAAAGGTGCTAAAAGTAATTAATTTTAAATTGTTACTAGAGAACAGTCTGCTTATGAGCAAAGATTCAGATACTGTTTTGGTTAACCTAAATTGATATTCAGCTGGATTAAAGTCTGTCACTTCCACATATATCCACATGTTTTAATTGATTCTATTTTTAAATTCACAAGATCTTGGTAGTGGATTTTTACAGATGCTGAGAATTCTTCAATGAGAGTTAAAGCACTCAGAATCATAATGAAAGAATGGCACTTATTTTAAAACCTTTATGTGTTTTTTAATTATCATCTATAATGTGATGTAATTCAAAGGGAACACAACCTGGTTTGTTACCTTGCACAGACTGTGTGAAAAGAGTAACCGTCTGAGAAGGATATATTTTATTTTAATGCAATTCAACATTCCCTCCTGTAGCTGGATTGGATGCCTTTACGAAGTTTCTGAAAACTGAGTTCAGTGAGGAGAACATTGAGTTCTGGATAGCTTGTGAGGATTACAAGAAAAGTAAAACTGCACATGAACTTTTGCCAAAAGCAAAGACCATTTACGAAACATTCATACAGAAAGATGCTCCGAAGGAGGTACAGTAAAAACGTTCTTCATTGTACACGGTATTTGACACCACTGCATCTGATGAAATCAGCTTTTGAGAATTGCATGCCCAGAAGCAGGGGCAATAGTTAATCATGTAGTCACTGACGTAAGAAGGCTGTATCTTAAATGTCAAAGCTTTGGAAGGAAATCTGGAAGCAATTGCAGAAATTATTCTCACTGTCCTCCATACTCCTTTCAATATCCTCTCCATGTTAAAAGTATAGAGCATGAGTTTAAATATTTTATCATAGGAATCAGAGATTCCTAGTGGTCTGCAAAGCAAGGGGATATATATAAACATATGCAGGGTATATTTAAGAAAAAATAGTGATGTTAAAGCTCCAATGAGACGTATCAGCTAGCATTTGTGAAAAAGTATTATACCTTTGTTTAAAGCTACCTGTAGAACAACAGATTTATTCTCCCTTTCTCTTGAATCAGTAATTATCTATTAAAATATTACATAACTGACATTCAGAAGCTTTTATTTTAAATAAGTCAAAAGACTAAAAGAGACTAGGAAAAACTATTAAATTAAACATATCCTTTAAAATAATAATTATGTTTCAAGCATGGACTTTTCTTGATTGACCCCTTCCCCCAGCTCTAATTACATATTCTTAGTGTGTTAATGACAGCACATATTCAAGAATATGTTGACATGTCAATCCTCACCAACACTAAGGCATTTTTGTATTACACTAATAGTGCAAAAAGTTTTTCTATTTGCAACTTCTTCATGTTATTGAAGCATGTTATAAAGGATTCATAAATGAGCAAAAGGAATATTTTTTGCCTGCTCTAGGAAGCAGATAAACAGGCTGGAAGGTGACGAACTCTCAGTGAAATCACAATCAGCATCTTCAGTAGGTCTTTTGGACTTAAAATTTCCTGTAATTCTATCAAGTTTAAGCAGATTAAATACATCACTTGCCAATGCTCCTTTTCCCCTATATTCTTTTCTTTTTTTTATCTGTCAGAATAGCGAAAGTTAAACACTAACTGTTACTTCCCTGTAACAAGGGTGAAAAATGTGGAATTGTCATTTTCAGAGAAAGGTTGCAGAACAGTGCAATTTCCACCTGTCATTCCCACTGATTATACTGAAAATTCAGATCTACTATTCCAAGGAAATTTCCACTTTCAAAGACTTATGTCTCTTTTTCTTTCCCTGCTGCACGTCTTTGGGGTAGACCTTAAATAAAAAGCAACCTCTTGAGTTGTTTGATGTAGAACCTGTCATTGCCAATTGATCAATCTATGAGCAGTTGTGGTAGGGCATCAAGTGCTGATACTGGCAACGCTTATGAGACCGACACAAGCGAAAAGATGAGCAGGAGGAAACCTAGGGAGGCGACAGGGTATGGAAGTTGTGCTTTGACAAACAGTAATGTAATGATTTCTTTATTTCTCATACTTCTGGTTTGGTGTTCATAGTGTGGGTGCTGTTCACCTTCAGCTATTGGCTTTGGTGAGACTTCCTTCCTTGGGTTCGGCTGAGCAGCTGAGATGAGCCAACAGCATCTCGTTTCAGACCATGCAGCTCTGGAACTTACATCTTCTCTCTGACTAACTTCTTGTCCAGTGGAGCTCTTTTACACACAATTTTCTAAGCATACAGTTCGATAAGATCATAAAATCTTAGGTTGATGAGGGAACCATTTCGTCACCATTAATTGCTCTTCAGTTCTTAGATCTAAACTATTTGTTTTAACTAGCTTTAAGGAAATGACAGGTGTATCTCAGTGAGGAAAAAAAAGTATATTATAGAAGTCACTTTTTGGCTGGATCAACAACTGTTTTTATATTTTCTATTTTATTTTTCAAAATAGCATGCTTAAATCAGCACCTGACACTTTGATAAAATTCTCATACTAATTAAATCTTCCCAGGATGAATGCAACGGTACAGGGAATAAATTATCATTTTGATATGCTTGTCCCATCTAAACTCTCCAGAAACCCATTACAATAATTTTTATATTTTAATTATTGGAGTTTTCTCACCTTCCTACTAGCAAAACTCTACACAGAAACCAGAAATTTTAAATATTCAGTAACATATTCTAATGAGACAAAGTTCTACATGAATCCTAAATGAGAATGGAGGGAGTTCTTTATTACTGTGGTGTTGCAAAGCCAGTCAGCTGCAACTGTACTAAGATCTCTATTAGAAATTTACTTTTAGTCAAACTTTATCTTCTACTTTACCAGTTTTCCATTGTACCGATGACACATCTGTGAAGGCTTTCTGACAGCCATTGCTGAACATGAACATCCTAGCTAATCCTATGGTATCACTATCCCATTGTATCAGGGATTCAAGGTCCTCTTATCAGAAAAGACTTTCAGCAAAGTACAGTATTGCTCTATGGATATTCTAACAGGAAATGCATGAATGTACATTAAAGAAATACACTTTTTCTCATTCTCCAGGTGAATCTGGACTTTCACACCAAAGAAGTCACAAGTCAGAACATTGAACATCCCATCATCACCACCTTTGATGCTGCACAAAACACAGTCTACAGGCTGATGGAGCAAGACAGCTACCCACGCTTCCTAAGATCTGATCCATATTTAAATTTGGTTAAGGGGAGAAATCCCGGTCGTCCTACCCTTAGGAGACGATCACGGTCTTTTACTGTCAATGATTTCCAGGGTGTACGACCAGACTTTCATGTTTGGTAACAGGGAAACTCAACCCTCATAAATTCTAGCTACTGCAGCAACTCATATGTGTTTTAAAATCCAAATCCTTAGTAGGTGCAAATGAGTGGAAAGCAAAGTTACATGCATTTATATCAGGTCAGAGTTCTGTAGCCGGTGATTAATCTCATTTATTATAGAGATTTAGACAACATATTGGCAAGACATATCATGCAAAGTTTTCATACAGTATTTTTTTTAAACTCAAGCAAGAGCTATAATTATATTTGGAGGGAAAAAGATCTGAGTTTCCTGCATAAAAATGTTGTACAAAATGTCATTTGATAATATCCACCATGTATCTTGGGCTTTTATTATTTAGCACAGAGTTTTGTCACAGTTAGAATCTATATAGCTGGCCTTTACACGTATTTATGTTTCTGCAATATTTCCTACACTAAACACAGAGTATTTGTGGTATTTTCTCATACTGCAAAACACATGGGAACATTATTAGGTATAATGTAAAGTTACATGGATTTTAACTACAGCCACTGCATAATTAAAATTTAACTATTATATATTTTAAAAGAAACGTAAGAATACCTATTTAATTTTTTGTGGTGCATTTTGTACTGTTTTCTTATTACATGTGTCTGTTCTCTATATTTAAGTTATGCTGTATAGATTAGCTTTGCCATCAAATACTTGTATTCTAATTTTTTTCAACAAAATGAGCAGCAACAAAGGTCTAAGAATGCTCTTTAACACAATCTGTGTCATTAAATATCAGATCATGTGTATGTACATATATAAAGAAAATATTTTTACTTTTATTTGTAAATATTCATAGTATACCAACTTTGTTACTAAACTTTGTTCTAGATTCTTTTCTTCCTTTTGTTTTGAAAAAGGATCCAAAAATTAAGAGCTCTCAGACTTAAGGAGAATAACCTTCAGTTCTACTGGTCATTAATATACTCTCTGTGGTTATAGAAGAGGAAAGAGAAATCTTCCTTTTTATTTCTTTATTACTGAAGTCACGTGTATCCTTTTCATAGTCAGTATACGCAGTTATCCTGTCCTTTTCTTTCAGAATTGATGTAGACACACCTTGAAGCATGGGACAATTCTTAAAATCTTAAACATTGGTTCAGTTTAGCAAGTGACTGCAGCGTTTAGTTGTAACTATGACTTATATATTCAGTTGCTTTGCATGGAATTTAAGCTTCCTCCCTTTTCTTCCCCTTTCAGTAAGTGGTCGAAGTGAAGGGGTACAGTTCCTGAGGATGGGACTTTATATTCGTTACTAATTCAGGGTATACATGAACTGCTTGATCTGAGGGTTCCTGTGTCTGCTTTACTAACTTTCAATAAATATGAAGTGATCTACTTAAAAAAGTTGTCAGGATTCACTTTATCACTAGTACATCAACGAGTAAAACATGAAGGCTTCACTTCACTTAAAATTCAATACTAGCTGTAATCCTTGCCATTTCAATCAAAAGTGTTACATTAAAGGAAGAACAGAGACCAGAACTCACCAGGGATTGCTGCTGAGCCACCATGACATGGGAACCACCTCCAAGGTCTTAGCTTTACCTGGAAAATAGACAGGAACCACATTTTTAACTATGAGTGGGGTATGATCCTTGCTAGTTTAATTCCATTACCTTTCCCTGAACCCTGAACTCTAAGCACATACTGTTTCTAAGTGTAGAAGTGGTCAGAGCCTAGGCACGGTGATTCAGGAATAAATCAAATGTCTTTCGACATTTGCAGGGTTGATACTGCATTTCAGCCATCTTTACCCATGTGAAATGCAGCTTTGGAACTTGTCAGCCACCTTTTTTTTAAGAACTGTTTCCACTCCTGTTGTCATTGTCACAGGTGTCCCATGAACAAGTGAATGCAGTAAAAGGCAAATTTCTAACCCAATTTTGTGGCTCAAGTCAGAATATTTTTCCGAATAGAATATTTACCCTTGCTCTTTCACGGTCTCTCCCTTAAACATGAATCATTTCTGCCAGAAACAATCCTGTTTCTGATGAGGGCATCTCTAGTGTTACTGGCAATGCCTGGATGCCAGAGTTCTCAGATATTTAAAATACGCATGTTCCTGCTTAGTTAGAGAAGGAGAACAAATTTAAGAACAGACTCACTTGAGCATTAACAGTGGGTCTGTTGCAACACAGGCGTAAGACCTACACATTTGCAGCTAGATTCTCCCCTGGTGTGATTATTTTCCTTCACACCAGCTGAGAATCCACACCTTTACTCTTGCCATGAATGAAATAAATGAAAAAAAGGTGTGTATTTAATACTGTTCCAAAATCCAAACAAATGACAAATATAGTACCTTGAGTAAGACTTTTTCTTCTTAGCAAAAAAAAGCTGTTAGTCAAAAGTGTCTGTAATGATAAGTCAGCAGACGTCCTTTGTTTCATTTCACAGACACATGGAAAATTTTACTTATCTCTGGGGAGGCCTTCCTCAAAACCCTCAGTCTGTGGTACAGACATTGCTAGTCCCTCTGATGAGTTTTATGATGAAAACAAACAAATAAGATGTTCCTGGTAGCTATTTATGCATGCATGTTTTTCAAAGATAATTACGAACTGTAGCTGAATTTACAACAGACTAAATGCCATGGGAACTACTGTAAGAAGAAAGTCAAGATAATTCCAGAGAAAGGAAGGCAAAGGGCGCAAAGATAAACTAAAATGACACAATTATCTGGCAAAGGGTTTTTTCTAGAAGAGGCTCCTTTTGGTGAGAGCAAATGAGCGCTCTACTATCTAGTGCTCTACTGTAATTCTGGAAGATGAACTAAGTGTAGATTTAGTACAAGTCTGTGATACTGTTCCAGGATTGAGTTAGACAGGATTGATCAGACTAAGGGCTAGCCCTGCACAGATCTATTTGTAGTGTAAACCTTAGAGTAGTCCAGAGAACATAGTCAGTCTTCTCTAGTTTTGGCAGAATCAAAGCCTTAGTTCTGTAAATCCTCTTGGTTAGCTGAACTAGTGCAAACAATAAACACATAAAGCCTATCGGAGAAGCATTTTTATTGGGGATTATTTTATGTAGCAGCTTTTTAGATTTGTATGTGCCATTCAGTAAGAGCTCTCAAAACACTCCTCTTACTGACACAATAATTTACCCTATATAAGCACTTCACTTTATTCCTTAGATATGTGAAGTCTCCAGACCCAAAGTACCAAGGAAATAATCTGCTGATTTATATAGCTCAAAGGTTTGTCTCTTGTTTCAATACTTCAGTCTAATTAGATGCTTTAAATTAGCTGAATTATTATCTGCTATTTAACTTGGGGGAGATGGAAATACACATATCTTTTTCAGCTTTTGCAATTTGTTATTGTACAAAAGACAACTTCATTAATTTTTGAACTGACAAGAAACAAGAGAAATAAAATCTAAAATCAAGAATCTCAAAGGAAAAGACAGATTTCCATCTTCCACTAACGTAGGTGATCGGTAATATGGCTCTTAACACACCTCTACATGCTACAACTTAAAAGTGACTCACAAAAGGCAGATCATTTTTCTCTCCTTTTTGTCCCCAGCTGCTCAGCCTGCCTTAATTAACCACTGCTTTGAATGCAGTTCCCTTTCCTTTCCACACATACTGCCAAAAGACCTCAACTGAAAAAAAATATTTGCAGAAAATCATCTCCATCTTTTCAGTGATTCATATGCTCATAAACTTACACCTTCCTCAGATACCTGTCCTAGGTCCTGCTCTGTTTTTTTGCATTTTAGTCAAATGCCTCAATCAAATGCCCTTTAAGCTCCTGTGTGGCTCTGTGCCAAAGATAAAAATATATTTCCTCTGTACCCCATCCAGCTTGCTTCCATTCCTGCAATTTTCTTGCTAATGTCTTGTTGTCATCTTTTTTTTGTACTCTGATCATCTAGGGCTAGACTTATAAAAGCTCCCTCTGGTTTTATACTAAAGCTTTTCTCTCTCCTTTCCTAAATGACATCTGTTTACGCAACCTCCTTATAAGTCTCCTTACAAGAGATTATCTAGACGCAAAGATCTACAGTCTAGCCTCTGTCTTTGCCTTCTCTATGAAACGTAACTAGAACTAATTAGCATGAAATATAATCTTATGGAAGTCAATTTAGAGTTTTCAAACAGGACACAAGATTAAGTTGAAGCCTAACATAAGGACAAACCTGAATTGTTTTTTCTTCGCCATGCAATTTGCCTGTACTTGAGAAACTCATTTCTTCACAACTTTCCAGACTCATTTTAAATTTCTGCAGTTAATGCTACTCCAGTTTTTCCTTAAGGAAGGGAAGACTTCAAAGGATTAAATCCTCATGTGGACTGTCCCCCTGTGAGGGACTCAGTAGGAGCTCTCCTGTGTCATACACATCCTTTGCCCATGTTACTCAATGTGGGCACACTGGGGAAGTCAGAAGTACGCTTGCAACAGTCTTTTACAAAAAGAGGCAACCAAAAACATCAGTACATTTTTTTTTCCTGTTCATTCAGTACTTAACGCTGCTTGGCTTGTTCCAGACCATCTGCAAGGCAATACTCAAGAGACAACCGATACAGGGAATTATGGTTCAAGAGCTTTCTGAGACATAATGCCTACCTTTCATGTATTCTTGTGTTGGTGCAATTTATACCTGTCTCCAAGGACAAGATCATAATATGGTCCTATATGTCTGCACTGTATAGGCTTCTTGTGCAAATAGGAAGTTTCGTGAAGTCTGATGCTATTTAAATAACAGTGTATTCATACAGAACATGAGCTGTGCCAAACACTCTGCTAGTTTCAATCTTCCAAGTTGCACATTTTTTTGAGAATTGTTTCCAGTTCTCTTCTAATGTAGGTTTGTGTTTGTATAGTACTTGGAAATCCTGTATATGAGGAGCCCAGAATGCTGTAAAACATTTTGACAAATTGTTCTATAAATCAAAACATTTTACTTGAAGGGCATGCTTTGCTTGGGTGGAAAATAACAGCTCATTTTCTTATGCAAAACAACTCTGTGGCATACTGAACACACAGAGTTATTTATAAAGAAAAAAATAGATTTTTGTGAGCTGACCATGCTGTGCAGTGCGATTGGAAGGTAGGTATTTACATAGTGCTGTGATTAAAATGTATTTGCATCCCATATGACAGGCGTTTCCATGTTACTATTATGCCAGCAGTCCTCAGATCATCCTGGCTTATCCAACATAAGAAATGCAGTCGAGTCTCTGTTTGCTCGAGTTGCTTGGATCAGCAGAACGTGAACTTTTTTTCTGCTGAGGTTACACTATACAAGACAACACTATCCAAGCAAACCCAGGTATAGGATGGATTTAACAGAGGCCAAATGCTGAAGGGCAATAACATATTGAACCTGATCCAGGGGGAACACCAGCACACCAAAACAGCTATTGGAGAGTGTGACCTTTTCTCACATTGCACTCAGGTGAGTACAAGGCAACACTTTTAGGAACATATATGAATGAAGGTGATTTCTTAGGTTAATACTCCAATAGTTTACACATGAAGAGTTGTTTCATACTATCTGTCGAGATTAGTACCTAGCTGAGATGTAGGTCAGGGGAAAAAAAATGACATGCCTTACTCAATTAAACAGTCAATATTTTTTCATAAGGAAGATAACTCAGTGAAACTAATGCCTAAAGATAGTTCAAGAATAAAAGATAAGCATCAGTAAAAGTCAATAAGTAAGCCCAAAAGTTCAGGAGATTTAAACATTTAATAAATCAGTAGTCCTTAGCAAGTAATATTAGCAAAGGAGGAAGCATTCAATCAATAGATCCACGTTCTCTTTCCTTTTCTAGCTCTCCTATGACCTGTCAAAGGCGGGGGACTCAGAACAAAAATCCATAGCACAGTCAGCAGAGTTATGGAAGTGTTAAGCCAGAGGCCTCACAAATAAAGTTTTTAAAATACACTGAAATTAGTTGAGCGGATAAGGTCCTGAGCTACTCCGCAAGTCCAGTCTGGATCATTAGTGAACTGAAGCTGCAGATATCAGCAGTTTCAGCTGGATCCAGACTTCCGAAAAGTTTAGAAATAATTCTATGTGCAGTTTCCAGCCCACCTCTAGTACATATTAATATTTCTTTTTATTTACTTGATACTGCTTATTATGAATAGCTAATACATTTGCACAAGCAGCTGATGCATTTGTTTTAATACTAAGATCACTTTTTCTCCTCATGAATTTCCATTAAATTATTAGAGTTTCTTTCCAGAAATTAAGTTGCAAGCAGAGGAAGTACATGATGATACTACCAGCTACTTTTTATGGGAAGACGTGACTGCGCTTAACTTTGGTTAGTGTGCTTCTGATATTTGGACTGGGATAATAATAACGACCACCCTATTGTCTGCTATGTACCTGAAATACAGTCAGCTTACGTAGGCAAAGCAGTCACTGAACAGCAGGCTACAAGGGTGAAAATCCCTCATAGCTTCTTTGTGTTTTTGTGAATTGTGATCAGTACCCCATAAAACTCAAGCAGCAATCAGATTGCTTCCATTTAGTTATTCTGTGTACTAGTGTGAGGATACTTGTGCTTTTTAGCACCCTTCTGTGGCTTCTAAGACTGACTTAAAAGTATCCACCAGCACTGAAAATCTTCAAGAGATGGCAATGTCTGTATTATTCAGAGGTCAGGCAATTAGATAGAAATTTTTAAAAAAGCACCTGTTGCTCTGTTTGGAACACTTAATTAAAAAATGTGTATCATAGATGATTATAAAAAAAAAACAACCAACAGGCAAGGAGCCTGCAATCCTTCCTCTTAAATAGTCTCACAGAAGTTAATGAGATTATTATATAACAAGAATTTTATTACCTCCTCAAAAACATAGAACTAGTCAATTTATAATCACAGTTCTAAGGTGGGTGAATAGTACAATCATTGGGATTAGATACAGGGCAAACATCGAGAAATAAATGGAATTCTCCAAGAATGATATGTTTCTTAATTTGGTGTCATCTCTGTCCTCATAACTGCACTGACTTTACTGACATTACACTAAGAAAGATGGAGGAAATTTGCATCAGGCCTTTATCTAGACTTTTGTTACTTGGCTGAAAATTCAGCACCTATTTTAAAGTGCTCCTAAATCTTGGCCACTTCTCAGTGAGAACTTAGAGTAAATAAAAGTAAAACATCTTCTTAAAAATACCAAGACATAGTAATGCATGTAAATGCATGAACAGCTTTGCAGAACCTCCCGTTTGCTACCAAAGAAGGGCAGACCAGTGATCACAAACCAGAACACTAGGAAAAAAGTGCTATTTCACAGCAATTGTCAGTCTCACTGTTAGAAAATTCAAGTTGCAGCTACTTACAGCCAGCCAGGCCAGAAACTCTACAAATAAATATTGTTTGGGTTTTATACTATGTTTATGCTCTTTTACCAAAGCTCAAACCTGGGACTGACTCAGTCACAAAGGATTTAACGTAAAGGCTTTCTCTCTGCCTGTAAGATGCTGAAGTTAGTCTTACTAGCAACAATGCATGGAAGGCTTTTGGTCCTGTCTGGCACAATGTTACAGTCTGCCATATACATTCTGTGGAAATAAGAAAAAATAACCAATTAAGGGAAACAAGAAACCCTGCAGACAATGAGGATGACAATTCCTATTTTTCTCCTTCTGTTATGCCTTTCAGAAGCAAGTGGATGCAAAGGTAAGAAATTGCAGAAAGGATTCAGATTTCGCTGTCGGTAATCTTTTTTAGTATTATGTAGGACTGAAAGGGGTATCTTGGTTCAACATTTCTAATTTCCTAGTATCAAAGGCAACAATTTAAAATAATCTTGTTCATAAACATATGAAGCTCTGTCTTCAAAGTACAGAGGAGTAGAGAGGACAAAAATTCTACTGGGAAACTGTTAGAAACAACACATTTTCCAAAGCCTCCGTTTGATTTCTAGCAAAAATGTATTCACTGGCTGTTTATAGACATTAGTTCTTTTGCCAATATGATCCTTAAGCTAAAATAATTCTTTTTTTTCCCTGTGAGAAATCATAGTTGTTCTTTGCTTTCATTTTACAAACAAACTGAAGTATTTTATTTTTCTCCTAAAAGACAGTTTCATTCTCCTGATCATCCCAGTAACCCACCTCTATATCTGTTCCCGTCCGATTTCAACTTTCTGGAGCCCTGTTGACCAGATTCAGTACTTTTTGTTCCACGTGAAGTTCATCTAATAGTTTCGCCTGAAGCTTCTTTTACAGATCCATGAAAGGTGAGAATAAGGAACAACCCCCTGACATTGCTAAGGGCAAGATGTGGCATTGGTGCTCGCGTTTTTCTTTCTTATTTTAGAAGGCAGTCATCGCTAAAGAAAGACAGCTTTTTGTGTGACTATACTGTCTAGGAAAATCCATTCCAATATATTATTATAATAATAATCCAATATAGGAAAATCCTGGGAGTTTGTTTATGTCAAGTGGAAACATTGAGAACCAGGAAGCTGGGTAGGGTGAACAAAGGATTAGGCAGCAGGATGAGATTTGGGGAGAGGCAAGAAGCCTGCTTGTTCAAGACAGCAAGCAACATACAGAGAAAGAAAAGAGCTGGGGAGGGAAGAATGATGTCGTTATCACAAGCAAAAGACAAATTTATATTAAAAGGTTTTCAGGGCACAGTGATGCTCCTAGAAGATGACACACAGACTGAAATATCAATAAGAGTAGAAAAAAATCACTGCATTGAAAGTATCAAATGCTGCATGATCCCATTATTAGTAACAGCAATAATGATGGCCACCCCAACACTCTTTGGTCCCATTGTGATAAGCCTTGCATGAATAAACAAAAGAGACAATGGCTCAAGGGCCTTAGATCTTCAAGACGTATAAGGTGATGGGTAAGCTTTGCAGATACAATATGAGAGCAAATACTGATACTGAGGAAATTTCTAGTTATGTGCACTGAACCCATTTTTTCCTTTTTTCTTTTCCACAGTCAGTAAGGCAAATGGTCAGTGAGAAAAGTCAGAAGATGATTTCTCTGTTAAGATGTTGTTCAGAATAGAAATATGGCTTAAGATATATTTACATATAAATTGTGTTTAATTAAAATTACTTTTGGTAGTTAAGTTAGAATGGCCACTGTTAAAAAATAAGCCATGTTTCTGAAAGAGTAATAATTTTAAAAGAAGCCTTAAAAACAGTTTCTCAATTTGCATTGCACTGTTTGGTTATTCACACGCTAATTGTATTGTTCCTGCTGTCACATTACCTTCAGCTTGAAGATCAGTCAGAAAAAGAAATTCTGCCCTACCCGTGACAGTCAGACAGTGGAGCAAAAAATGCCAGTGAAGTGAGTTGCTGTTTATGGCTATTTTATTCGTAGAAGATTTATGGGATGAGATGGTCAACGCTGTTATTTTCCTTCCCCCTTTACAGTGGATATGATTATTTTGATTTCTTGTCAATTCTGCTTGCCATTCCCGTTCAAGTAAATCCTGTGAGATTAGTGAGATCATTCTCTGAGTGATGGTAAATATTAAATCAAATAATATTACCCATGAGGAAGAGAAGCAGAATTAGGCTCATGCTGTCTGTTTTATCCTGGTCTTTCATTTTCCTTTTTTGTTTGACAAGAGATCTCGTAAATATTTATGAGCAAACTGAAAATTTGTTATATATTTGATAAAAGTTTATTACCGTTACTAACACAAATTATCTGCTGATTAATTCCATCAGCATACGATGTCTCAAAAAGTACTACATAATGCTATGTTTAGTTTTCATGTGTGTTTTTAATACAGACCATCTCTATTTGAACTCCAGTTTCCCTTATGTATGTGTGCGTATGTGTGTATAAATAGACTTAATTTAATTCTTTTTTTTAAATATATTTTTGTGCAGTCTGGATACAAGTAAACTGACAGCTACAAAAAACCCTTGCTTGTTAAAGGCATCAATATCACAGTCTGTTGTAATAATTATAACTATGGTTATGTAACATGGTGACGCTATCATATAATATTTTGATACATTTACAGTTAGAAAACGCTATTACTGGTGATGCTGACAAATGGCTGTGGAATACAGCTCTCAAACTAACCTATATACTTCAAAGCAGAGTTTGGACCATCGAGCTCTGAGAGTCCTCTTAGGAATATCAAATATTTTTTACAGAATTGTAGGGTGGGTTTTTTGTAAATTGAAAAAACCCTGTAACATTTATCTGGAACTAAGTGTTTGGTCCATTTATCAGACTCTGGAACCTTTTAGCTCCTAAAATACCTATTTTTTTAAGTTAGTATATACGGTGACAGAATGTCAACAGTTAGCATAAAGGTCTTTCCATAGGTGAGATTTCAGGACCCTGTTGGTCAGACAGACAAAAGCGCAGCAAAATTCACATCAAAGGTTAATTTAAAACACTCCCCTGATGGATGGGCATCTGGTCAGCCTTGAGAATCCACGTTCTTAAAACACTAGCCTAGAGGAAGAGCAGCAAAGCACGTGCAGGCAGGTGCTGTATTTTAGCAGAGCCTTTTCCACGTTGTTTTCTACTCACCCAAATTTCCCACCCCTCAATATTGTGGACAGTGTCTGTGGCTAGTGATGCCTTCCTGAACCAAGGATGACCTGTTCCACTTTTAGTTAGGATGAACTAACGTTCTCCCTAAGGAATGTGAATATAAGACCTAGGCATGAGGTAGAAAAGAATTACATCCCATGAATTTCACATGACTGAAATCAGAAAGACCAACTGAGAAAAACCTTTCAAGTATAGAACCACTAACCTCCATGAAAATTGTGAGTTTTTTTGAATGGAAACAGGGTCTAGTCAGAATGTAAGATACCTGTTCCTGTTGAAAATCCTGGAATTGGTTTTGATTTTGCACTGAAGCAAACCAAAATGTTTCCAAAGTTTCCTATTTCCCCTTTCTTACCACAAAATGAGAGAGAAGGTGCAGACAAATCATTCCAGAGCTGCCAACATGTCAGGTGACTACTATATTCACATAAAATGTAAATTGAGTTTCAAATCCCCCTGCCTACTGTAACCTATACAAGATACATAACCAGAGGATTAGAAAGTTGATTTCCTCTCGCTTTGTCTGGTTAATGCTTCTTTACCATTCGTGTAAGTGTAACAGTTTCAACACAAGCAACAGGAGATACTGATCTATTTAATATTACCTACCTCTCCAGGTATTCTTGCAGATATTCTAGACCTTATGTGTCTCCTTATAAAGAGAATCTGTATCTGTATAGGGAAAAAAAAGAAAAAGATATCAATTACTTACTCTGCCCTGGCCTTGCACTTTGAACTATTTGTTTATTTCAAGATCTTTCACAAGTAAAAAACGCTAGTAAAACATTCTTAATTACCTTTAAACTTTTATATTTTTTAAAAAAATAATTTGCATTAGTTTTACTAAAATTTAAAATAAATCAGGATAAAGCATTCTATTGAGTCTGTTCTGAGTAGACAATAGCGTAAAAGCTCAACAAAATTATTAAGCTTTTATTACCTTTCTTTAGAGGTTACAAGAAAAACTGATTAACACTTGAAATTTCTAGCTCAAATTTTGGCCGAGGACATTTGTAAGATTTGAATTTTTTTTCAAAATTTTCCTTAAAAAAACCCCCCAAAATCCTATTTTAAAAAAATTTCAGTTACAAACCACTGAACTGAGGTTTATCGAAGAAGTATGCTCCTTATTCTAAAACAAAATATGAGCTACATGATCAAATTTATTCCTGCTTATCACCAAACAGTAGATATGAGACTAATGTTCATTTGGGATGCCTGAGGCTGCAAACTGACAGACTGCCAAGAAACTAAGAAAATCAAATTGAAAAACTGACATGCGGGAAAAGCAGGTAGGCACATGCTGACATCTCCACATATCGCTCTGACATTTCCACAAAATGCTTCATTTTCAAGAAATCATATTCTTCCAAGGTTTTGTCACAAAAAGTGCAAGCAATAACAATAATACTCATAAGAGGAGTTATTTTTCTCTGCTGAATGTTTAAATTTAAACCTCATGCAGTGGTAATTTTAATCAAAGTATAGTTTTGCATGAATGAAAGACAGTTTTCTTTTATTTGTGTACTCACAGACTAAATTGAATATGACCATCCTTCTCAAGTTAAAAGAAAACAATATTCCCCACACTCAGCTTGCAGTTCCCTTATCTGACATCCTTTTGCCTCTCAGATGGTGCAGAGGTCCCCCGTTAGCCTGCTCTCTAAGCTGTGCTTCTGAACCAGCTTGAACATTTTTCAGAGCACCCAGGCGTTGTGAGAGCAAGCGTCCCTTTAGTTCTGTGTCTCATTTCTAAGCCTGCAGTAAGTTACAAAGAAAGAGACAAACACATGAAATTACTAAATTTTTTTTATACCACTAAGAAACGGAAATAATGCCCACTTATCCTGCCACTGCTAGCATGATAACGCTTTAGATAATTCTACTCACTCCAAGCAAAACGTATCATATAAATTAATGATTAATCCGTTGAACTCAAGAAGAAATTCAGTATGTACTCTAGAACATTAATATCCCACCTATGTTTTTGTTATAGTTCAACAAATTGCAAGTATCACTACTGCCTCCTGGGTGAATAAACAAGTTGCCAGTGTCCAATAACGCTGTACTTTATGAGTCTATATAGTTCTCTACAGTCTTAAAAAGAAAGGTGTCACACTTTTCGTTGACTTTCTTATGCAGCGCATAGGGTAACATGAATTATTCACCCTGCTCCTTCAAGGAGATAATCAGATAATGGAGTAGCTACCATAGACTGCACAGGCTAAAGATCACAATGCTATTTTCAAGGATAGATGTTGTTTCCACAGGTCAGACCCTGGGGAAACAATGGCCTGCTCTGAGTCTGTGGATACACTACTAGCTAATAAAGGTAAGAAGTATGTGAGAAATATATTAAAAAAAAAAAAACAACTTGTCAACCCAGTTCACTAACGTTGCTGTCAGGTTCTTACACTGCTTTCCAGTCCAACTCTCCACAGGTTTTGAACCACACCAATGCTGCTGCTGGAGGCTGCTGTGCTGAAAGGCAGAGGGAACGTGTTTCTTCAGGCTGCAAACACAATATACCTTCTGGCCAATGTTTAAGGAATATTAAAAGAAGGCAGAAGTGCTCTAAAAGAGTTTTGTTTTATGAAGATAAGGTTGTTAAACTCTGTGCAATGGTTCTGTTTTTTCCATTTTTTTTAAATAAAAAACCACAAACATTTTCTTAGCTATTCCTGTTAACAAATAAATATATGTTGTGCACTGACTATCAGTCAAACAGAACCTGATTATTTCTAAAACATCCAAAGTCACTTCTCAGAGAAATCCCATTCCTACTGACCTTAAGTTCCAAACCATACGGAACTGTTAAAAATTACCTTACGCTATTTTCCTGCTGGAGCTCTGCAGCCTGGACCCTGCAGTGCCTCCACACTATTTCTGCATAGCATCGATTCGCCTAACACAACTGAATTTGGGTGCTGCCAGCTTTCTTTTCTAAGAGCTTGTGATATAGATTCATTTTAAAACAATTTATTCCAAACAAGCCTTTCTTTGTTTCATTTTTTTTTTCTCTTAAAAGTGCAAAAAATGTTGAACAAAGAAGTAACGAAGAGTACTTCTCTTCACCCAAATCTTGATCATTACACAAAGGAGGTTTAAGTGTTATTTAGGCAGACTAACCACAGCCCTGAGAGAAGCACACTACCACAATATGACTTGATTTTCTGGGTGCTGCTTAGACCAGGGGTCAGCCTCAAATCTCTCTGTTTTCTAGTCACTATAAATCCTCTCGAGAACCAAAATCTCTAGGATCTCCTTTAGACTAGTGTGTCAGTGCTACAGCAGGCAGGTATTGGGAGCATTCCTCAACTAGTAACTCTCTGAAAGAATTCCCTTGGTCACCTTACCATTACCATAGTTTCATCTCCTATTTATTTCCCCCACAACAGCCTCTTAACTACTGGCTGCCAGGCAAAACATCAGATACATAAACGTCACTATGTATTCTGCATATATATATACACACACACACATATACATACATAGAATCTTCATTGGTCTTTCAGTTTTCTTCCACCCATCATCTCATGCATTTTTCCCCAGATGGCTTGGAAGCTTTTAGGACATTTTTGAAGTCAGAGTTCAGTGAGGAGAATGTGGAGTTCTGGCTGGCCTGCGAGGACTTCAAGAAAACCAAGTCCTCCACTAAGATCGCCTCAAAAGCCCAAAAGATTTATTCTGATTTTATACAAGCTGATGCTCCAAAGGAGGTAAAAAAGTTTTTTTGTATGTACTTTGGGTGCTCACTGAGGATTGGAATCAAGTGGAAAATTCAGATCCAAACTTCCTGAAAGGACAAAAAAAGCAATTCAATGTGGCTGTACTTCTATTTTTGTGTCAGTTATTTATCAGTTGGAAAACACTGCGTGGAACTGTGTGAAAGAAAAAAAGACCTCTTATTGTTAAATAGAATGCATTAAATACTCTCTTCACAGAGGGCATGGGCTTATCTCACCTAAAATTTCTAAGGAAGTATATGTTCAATATCATTTGATTTCCCTAACTGTTTTTATAATGCAATAAGCACCATCTCCTGCATATTTTAGGTAGCAATACATTGGAATGTTAATGATTGTATTTGTTCTTTTGTGTAAGTTTTTTTGACATGATGAAAATCAAAATGCAAACATGCAAAATTTTCCGTCATAGCATTCAATTTAATCATTATTTTAAAAATGCTTACTGTGAAGGAACAAATTGCTAATTAAGTATTCTTTACATTCTACTCTCTAACAAACTTTTACGCTTATGGTTTTGTCTTTGACAATGAGAATTCTTTGAATGTCTCCATGACTTACATGTGATTGAAATCTATTTTAGTATTATTAAACCCAAAAAAATCCTTACAAAATAGGGCCAAAACCGAAACAATGCTGAGTACCTTCATCTCTAATTTACTTTTCAGTAATCGGTATCTTCATAAGATTTAGTTTGGCAAAAAGATGAGATAACCAGAAGCAAGTTTTTCTCCCCCTTTTTTTTTTTTTCAGTGATGCCACCTTTTTAAGAGCCAAATAAACTTAAGAATACAATGTGCTAGAAAACAAAGGGATGACCTTCCTGCTTATTTGCATCACCCAGGGTATTTGGAAAGAAATTCAAATGCTGATTGCGTCCTGTACGCAAACAGACCTCAGCTTTCCAATCAATCTGACATTAATTTTATGCCTCCTTTCTTCCTACAGATTAATATTGACTTCCATACCAAAACCCACATCTCTCAGAATATCTCTGAGCCAACTCTCAGCTGCTTTGACGATGCTCAGAGGTTAATCTATAGTCTCATGGCACAAAGGCCTCTTTCCCCAGGTTTTTACGGTCAGAAGAGTACAAGGAACTAGTAAAGAAGCAGCAGAACAGAAATCAGAAGAGATGGCTCCCATTTTTGTAAGAAAATAAATGCCAAAGACCTGAGGGATTATGAATTTGTAAATGTCTCCTATCACAGCTCGGTACAGATAATATTTTATTAAAGTGATTGTACAAACCAGATCTAAGAATTACCTTTGCTCCCTGTTTTTAAGTACGATATGCACATGATACTTTCCAATAAAGTTGGTGGAGAAACATTCAAGAAACCTGATGGAACATGCTAAGACATTTGAGCTACCTTTTTAGCAAAGTTTGCTATTGATAATTTTTCCAGTGCTTGCTTTGTTTGTCAAACTGTTTTCACATTTTTAAGCAGAATGTTTTGATTTTCCGGTTTGCCATTGATTTTTCTTTAGAAATATGACCTCAAAAAGTAAATTCCTTTCAGGGGACTTGAATACATTGTCTTTCATTCATCATCTTATTTATAATTTGTTAAAAAAATTTAAATCCTCTTTTAAATATGTTCTATACCAATTCAAACAGGAGAAGCAGAAATATGGTAGATAACATACTATGATAATAAATAATAAATAGGCAGCTGCTTTCTAACAAATGTTCCTGGCATTTAAAGCAAATTAATGATTCATAATACAGCTCTCCAATATGAATCTCTTTGATTTTCTTTGTGTTTATTTAATTTGAATTTTTATTGAAAAGTTTCCTTTATTAATTGTGCAAGCATTTTGGAAAAAAACCTGCGTATATCTTCCTTTGTGCATTTTCAATTAATAATTCATTCTCTTTGCTTTTCCAAATGTATCAGTGAGACTGTCCCCATGTACTCATGAAGAAATAACGTCAATAATTATTACAATTTTTCAATTAAACACATATAAGTAGAGACAGTTTTAGGCAAGTAAGCATGTAAATCAGAATTTAGTCATGGAGTTATTTTTCAGATGAGCAAGATATGCTAGGATTCTAGTGCAATCTTCAGATGTCTCCAAATGCACACACTGATCTCGTTCAGTGTTATTAGATGATTTATTGCATATATTTAGGTGAAGGAATGAGCTGTGATATAGTATTGAAAAAAAATATTTTAAACCATATTGGGCAGGAAGAACCTTCACTATGGAAAATAATTCAAAATGCAAAAGACGTTACTATGATTTTTCTAAAAAAAAGAAAAATATTTCATTTTATATGAATTTGATCTTTTTGGTTCTTTTGCTTTTGAACTGCTCTTAAAACACCAGGAACCTCTACCCGTTTGGAACTCTGTTCATGCCTTCTGTGTACCATCACATCATCTATGCAAAAGATCCTCTCTATTTTATCATTCTACATTAAGGAATTAATTAATTTAGACAGTAAAGGGTATTAAGTAGTCTGAAAGCCCCAGTACACTGCCTTCAGTTACGTACTTAGGTTAATGTCCTGCCACCACAGCTTACGTAGGTAGGGTGTAAAATATCTATTTTTTGATACTCATCTAGTTTTACTATACTTCTGTCACCTAGTTTTTCTTCTTGCCATCTGCATCTCTCTTTCTTTTCTTTCTTCCCCAGTACTAGTGGTTAACAGAGAAAAGAACACGATGGCTGAGGTTGGGCTACAAGGAGGATGTGGGTTTGTCTCACAGTCCCACAGCTAGCATTCATTTTGCAATTATACTTCAGTGGAAAATTGCGACTTCCGCCTGCAGCGCAGCCCTGATATCCTTTCTGCGCTCGGGGATTTCTGCGGGTTAAAGTCACAGTAAAGACAGCAATCAGGATTGCTGAAATTACATTGTTTACTCAAAAATGTATCAAGTCATTTTCCCTTCTTACAAATCCAAGTCTCATTTCAGAAGATAAAATTCCCACTCATAGGAAGAAGTGGGATCACGTCACCTTTCTTAGTAGGACAAGTAGAAAGCCAAAAAATTCTGCTCTACCAACTGTTTGGGACCTAAGCAAAAAAAAGTACCTTGAAAATAGACACACAATCATGAAATCTCACAAGTCTCTCTGCACTCCTTCAAAACTTGCACACTTCTGACTTTACCCCATCACAAACAGAGCTAGAAAGTTGTAGAAAGTTTGTTGCTGAGGATCTCTAATTCCTCACTGTTTGAAAACATAGCATAAGGAGAAGATAAAAATATATATAAATCAGTCAAACTTGATAAAAAGGTTATTATTCTAATAACTATATAAAAACAATAGCAGGCAGCATCATGTCCACATGATGTCTGGCTGATTCTCTATGATCAACAGCATAATTATTGTCAAAAGAGTAGACTGTTCTTAACGTTTTAGCATTTGACATTCATTTCAATAATTACATAAATAAAGCATCATGAATGATTTTAACACATTTTCAATTAATTTAGAATGTTTTAAGAGAAACGTACAGTAATAGCACTTTTAGGGGTTATCACAGACTCAAGCGTAAATTAACAGTACTAATCCTTTCATAACCCTCTAATTAAAACTGTGCTAGTTCTAATTAACTAACAAAGTTAATTAAACTTCTGTTGTTGATCAAGCCTTTCAACATTTTTATTAATCAGCCTGTATCAGATGCCGAGAGACCTGTCCCCATGGCACACCAACACCTCGTTCATCCTCTCCTCCCTGAGCTCTCTCCAGCTGTTGCAGCAACAGCACTTTTCTTAAACTAGCCTTATTTTCTCTATACAAGATCTCTTCTTGATGAGATGTCTATGGGAAATTCCCTTCTTGACCCAGTTCAGCTGGTTTAGAGGATACAATTTTGGAAATGAAATTTAGTCATGGAAAGAGGCAGTAACAGCTTTAACAATTGCTGCAATTTACCCAAACATGAATGAAGCCAGAGTGATCAAACCATTTCAGCAAGCAGCAGCTAGAAAACATTGTTTGACAGCGTCTCCACATACGCACGTCAGATCTGGCTCACTACATTTTTTTGTTTTTATTTTTCCTCTATACCACACATCTTTAGGAACGTTCCAGCTTGTGTGGAATCATGTGAGTGAAAGCACATAAGCCAGTGGAAGGGCCTCTGCTCACCTATGTGGGCTTTGGATCAGATGCAAGATAATACAATTCACTATAGAGTGAATAAATCGTAGAATGGTTTGGTTTGGAAGAGACTTTAATGATCACCTAGTTCCAACCCCCCTGCCATGGGCAGGGACATCTTCCATTACACCAGGTTGCTCAGAGCCTCATCCAGCCTGGCCTTGAATGTGTCCAGGGATGGGGCATCCAAAACTTCTTTGGGCATCCTGTTAAACTTGAACTAGAAATATAAAATACCCAGAAATTCTGGAGACTAGAGGCCAAAAATAGCTGGTTTTAACAGAAAGACTCCCTGAATTTTGAGGTGGACTAACTGCTACATCTGAACCTAACTGCTATGTCTAAGAAAGGGAAGCCTACCACATATAATTTGTCTCCTGCAAAGAACGGGCAGGTAGACGAAATTAATGAAATCAGTAGAACATCTTTATTTCTGAATGATAATTGCACTTTGTGTTGCTGGTGGAACTTTAAAGGACATCATGGATCTGAAAAATGAAGCATACTTTCTGCCTCCAGTATGCTGAAAAACAAGAAAAAAACACAAACCATGAAAAGAGACACTGCCACATTTGTTCACAGTGGTTAAAGTTCTCAGGTAGCTCAAGCAGCAGCCCATGTTTGTTAAGGAAAAATGAAATTGAGTAATGAACATGAGACCCTCATGTATATTCACCTTCGCTGAGTAAATAGCTGTCTCTGCACTGCCTAGAAACTGTAATTGTTCCATACTGTAATGTTGAAATAATTTGAAATACTCAATTAATAACAAAGTATTTTGAAGAACTGACAAATCACACTAAAACTATCACTTAAAGCTCTACTTTCAGTATTCTTAAGCTGTTCGTTTTGAGAGAAAACTCCTCTCAGAAAGGTTTCTTTTCCGTTTTTTCCCGGCTTTACAACTTCTACAATATTAGGCCTTGGAAATTAGACCTAATGTATTCTTACACATTTCAGAGGCAGCCTTGGATGCTTTGATCTTTAGTGAGAAAAGTCAGATGATACTAGAGAAAATGATTCCCTGCCTTAGTTTTTTTCATATTGTTGCTATGGTTTCTAGCTGCCATGTTATCATTTCTCTGTCCTAACTGAGACATTGCCTTGTAATTTTTTTTTTTTTTAATATTACATGAGTTTAGGTATTTGCATATAAAATGAGTAGAGCTGGATTTGTCTCTCAATCCATATCTGTTTCCATTTAGGTTTGCATGTAGGTTATTTTTAGTTCTATGAATAGTTTCCTTACTATGCATAACAGTCCTGGAAAGGCAAGCAAAAGCACGTACTCAGTAAAAAGTCTAGGGAAATAATTTTTTTTTTTCTAATACAGTGGTTATAACTTAAAGGCTTATAAATCAGAAAAGAAAGGAAAAAACCTTAAATAAGTTACGTTTCTTGAATAATTTCAAATGTATTAGGCTGTCTTCTAAATATGTTTTAGCAGAGAGAAGAGGGCAGGAAGAGAAGAAATCATGAAGATGTATGATATTGTATTTTGGATAAAAAAAAGTCTTATTTTTATCTGTGTTGGCAGCAAGATTTCCATGCTTGCATGGCATGGGGAATATAGCAAGGCAGGATATAGAGAGAATACCCAACTCTGTCCCCACACTACTCAATCATCTCTAGGTTGAAGCTTCTTCAATGAGCTGCACTGTAGTCATCTTTCAATTTTTCACCAAATTCTAGTGGCAAAAAACCTGTTACTAAAAACGTATTGCCTTTTTTGCCTCTGAAATATAGAATAACTATACTATGTTAACTACAGGCTACAGAGTCTCTAGTCTTTAACTACTATCACACATAAACGATGTTATTACTAGTTCTTGTCATTTTATAATAGCTATTTCTGCAACTAACCTAAGCAAATACTCAACACCCAGGGCTCAAAGGGCATTTGCTTCTCAACAGATAAAAGATAAAGAATGCAAAGAAGTATAAATATCACAAACTCAAGAAAGCTCATTCTTCACATTCTGTAACAGGGGAAGCTCCTTTGAAAGGTTGAACTAGTTTGTTA